CATACGTGATTTAAGAAACAAGCGACGAAATTAATTTTTTGCCAAATTTTCCACCAAATTTGGCAATTTGGTCACAATACTGTTTCACGCGTATTTGGGAAACTAATAGTCAGATTAAAGTCTGGTTTGCTCCATTGAATTTCTCGTCGAGGGAAATATACTCATACGTGATTTCAGAAAGAAGCGACGAAATTAATTTCTTGCTAATTTTTCACAAAATTTGGCAATTCGGTAACAATTTTTTTTTCACGCGTATTCCGGAAACTAATATTCGGATTGAAGTGTGCTTTGCTCCATTGCATTTCTCGTCGAGTGTAATACACACATACGTCATTTCAAAAAGAAGCGACGAAATTAATTTTTGCCAAATTTTCCACCAAATTGTCAATTCGGTCACAATTTTGTTTCACGCGTATTTTGGAAACTAATAATCGGATTGAAGTCTGGTTTGCTCCATATAATTTCCCGTCGAGGGTAATACTCACATACGTGATTTCAGAAAGAAGCGACGAAATTAATTTTTTGCCAATTTTTCCACCAAATGTGGCAAATCGGTCGCAATTTGGTTTTACGTATATTTCGGAAACTAATTATCGGATTAAAGTACGGTTTCCTGCATTGAATTTCTCGTCGAGAGTAATACCCACATACGTGATTTCAAAATGAAGCGACGAAATTAATTTTTTGCCAAATTTTCTCCCAAATTTGGCAATTCGGGCAAAGTTTTGTTTCACGCGTATTTCGGTAACTAAAATTTAGATTGAAGTCTGGTTTGCTCCATTGAATTTCTCTTGGAGAGAAATACTCACATACGTGATTTCTAAAACAAGCGACGAAATTAATTTTTTGCCAAAATTTCCACCAAATTTGGCAAATTCGGTCACAATTTTGTTTCACGCGTATTTCGGAAAATAATAATTGGATTGAAGTCTGGTGTGCTTCATTGATTTTCTCGTCGAGAGTAATACCCACATACGTGATTTCAGAAAGAAGCGACGAAATTAATTTTTGCCAAATTTTTCACCAAATTGTCAATTCGGTCACAATTTTGTTACACGCGTATTTCGGAAACTAATAGTCGGATTAAAGTCTTGTTTGCTCCATTGTATTTCTCGTTGACAGATGTACTCACATACGTGATTTCAGTAAGAAGCGACGTAATTTTTTTTTTTTTTTTTTGCCAAATTTTTCAATTCGGGCTAAGTTTTGTTTCACGCGTATTTCGGAGCAGGAAGATTTAATTTGAAGGTAGATTGGTGGATAAGTTTAAAAATACTACTTTTAGGCTCTAAAATAAAAATACCAGTCTTTGTCAATTCTGTGTCGTTCAGAGTAAAACAGCATATATTATGGCTTATATCCCTGAGAACTTAAATAGCAGACTTTTTTTTTCTCTTGTTCTGAGGTTAATTTTTAAAGATACAGGCTGGAATAACTTTTTTTTCCTAGAGCGAGACGTAAATGTTTGGTAAAGTGACATAATTTTTCTGAGGTTTTTGAGTTGTGCAGTAGTCCTTGGGAATGTATGTCACCTGTTTAACCTTGTCCAACCCTGAGTTTAGGTAAATAAAATAATAACACAAGTTTATAGACCCTAAATTTATGGTAGTGTCATATTTTGCCTGAGTTTTCCTGAGTACTAGCTATCTTACCTTGTGCAACTTTCTATTTCCGAAAATAGGGTGGAATACTTTTTTCCCTCAAGCCAAACATTAGCCTTTTAAATTTTCGGTTGTATATCACATTTTTGCCGACATTGTTTTGATTATATTTGATAATATATAAAATAATACATTATATTTTTTAATATATTGCTAAATCAGGTATAATATGAAAATATGCTTCCTTTTTTGCTTTGTACAACTCTAAATTATCAGAATTAGAGCCTAAAATTAAGCTCAAATGTTGGGTAGGGCATCATATTTTAGCAGACTCACAAGAATGAATGTTACATACTTTAATTTGTACAACCTTGATGTTTGTAAAGTGAGGCTTGGAACAATTTTTTCCTTAAGGCCTTTAATTGGCCTTCTGTTTTGGATGTGTTACTGTTGACTTCTAATAAAGCGTAATTGTATTTTCTAGGTGGAAGCCTGTAGCTTTAGTCTAAAACCATTTTGGGAAACTAAAATACCTTTAAATTTGGGAATATGGCTCTTAATTAGCCTTTAAATTTGGATAAGGTTTAGCTGTGGTTTTTGGGCATTGCTAGGTTTACATGACTTATACACAATACTAATCATGAAACAATACATATTATCAATATTGCTTACAATATACAATCAGACCTCCACATAATTAACTTCAATGCATCCAAAGTCTGTTCCACACATTTATTAGTATTGTTTTTTTATAAACAATCTTCCTTTATATCAGGAATCTTCAACCTTTCACACTTTTAGGAACCCTTTGAGACCATGGTGTTTTGAAGGAAGCTCATAAATAAAAACATTATTTCTTGTTTTATTTTGTAAAATCTTGCTAACACTTTTCCACGAGAGAACCAACTGACATCATTATGCAACAGTAGTGTTTCACATAAATTTCCCATACTTTCACACAAGAATTTGTGAAGTGTTGATTTGATAAAATTTATAATTTTAATACACTCATGAAGTACATCTTTTTCGCCTTCTGACATTTTCTTCACTGCAAGTCCACGAGACAACAATGAGTACTTTTCATGTGAAGATTTGATTGTTTCATGCATGCAACTACATCATTCAATTTACTAAGGATTACCTTGGCTCCTCCGGTCATACTTCATGGCGTATCCAAGATAGACTTGCTTTTTGAAATATGAATCTATCAATTTAAAAATGCCTTCCACAAATGTTCTGGTTAGCAGACGATTGCATTATTTTTCATATTTGAAGCTTGTTTTTTTTTTTCAAATTTCAAGAGTTTATTTTATCCACAAAATTTTTGTTTATATTTATTTTTACTATCAACTGCTTTTTTATATCCTATTATTAATATTTACTTAAATATTATATTAATGTAATTTTTAAGGAGACAGACCACCACTCCGTTCTTACATAATAAGTTCCTTGTATAAATGTTTTCCTGTTTGTGTGTGTTTAGGTTGAGCAAATAAAAATCACTTCTAGAACCCCTGTCAAGGTTCCAGAGAACCCTAGGGTTCTGCAAAACCAAGGTTGAAGACTCCTGCTTAATATCAAAATGTAAGTTCCTGGATATAAAAATTTCATTGATTAAATAAGAAGTATAATTCAAATGTGTAAGAAGTATTCTGAAATAACATAAAACAATTATTTGAAAATCAGGGGTTCAGGGGAACATACTAATAACCCTCCCATTTGTTGTAAGTGTTGCCTGAGTAAAAACAAAGTTTGTATAAATGTTGGTATAGATGATGTTTGTATAAACACAGGATTCATTTCCCAGATAGTTATAATACATTATAGCTTAAATCCAAAATACATTCAGTTAATTAGCACAATAGCCAGATGGTTTGGGTAAATCTGAATGAAAAATAATGATCATTTTAGATTTCATCTAGTTGACATTAAATATTGCAGTGTGCAGGTCGAAGTAAGGCGATTTTCCAAGTGCAATGTGTCTAGTGTGTTTGAGAGACTGGCACAAAAATGTGTTACAAAGTATGCAACACCCACACTCAAAGTTCTTTATGAAAACTGTGTAGGCCAGAATCTCGACTCGGCTTGGAAATTCATATTGAAGCATCAAATGTATACAATCAAAATTGGATAGATGGTCTCATGTAAATAGAAATTTTCAACCGACCCACCGGATCTTGAAACTACACACTTTGTCTCTCGCTACCATTAATAACTTCTCTCTAGCAGTCTGATCCCCGTTTATTTCATGTTTTCTGCTATTCTTCATCACTGTAACATACTTCATCTACGACACCACCTTGCATTAACTAATAAGACTTTGTCTGGGCAATGGCCTTATGTATTATTTAATGGCAGGTGGAGTAGTGGAAGCTGATTGTTGCATTCTTTAACCATCCCAGTATTCAGCTTATGACCAATGGAAACCATGAAAAAAAAACAACAACAACATGATGGCTAGCCAGGGGATCAAACCTGGACCTCCCGATTGTACAGTCAGTACGCAATGCACTGAGCCACTTCGCTCAAATGTTCCGCCATAATGTGCAATAACTGATCATTTTGGGGATTAGACAGTTTTAGACATTAGCTAAAACATACACATCAGGTGGCTTTCTATACACAGGTTATATATACATTTTAGTGTTATAAAATATCTGTGGAGCAATTTGATAAAACATTTGTTGGAGGGGGGGGTGCAATTCTTTGCAATTATAAGTGTGAAACGACAGTTAACTTTAAATTGCCCCAAAGTTTATTGAAGTTTTGGCTCTCAGGATTCTCCAATGTCATGAATTCATAATACTCATGTTCCAACATCAAGAGTGAAAAGAACGATTTTCAGAAGAAGTAATTTCGAATAGAGCCAGTACATTCACTTTAGTAATTGATTCCATAGAAAGTTTTGTCAACAATATGGAAGTCTGCATGTATACAGGTATTTATCTGAATATAAGACATTTCCCTAATTTTGAAAAGGCCTCCTGAATTTTTAAAAAAAATTTTATCTACTAAATTCTATTCTAACTATTAAATTCTTACTATTTAGACAAAATAAAATTGTGAATTGTTTTACTGACTAGAAAATCGCCTTGTTGAGAGAATGTTAAGACTTATTGGTGAAAAATCATTTTCTTGTTCTTTAAAATCATAATCATGGAGTTTTGTCACTACCATCATCTTCACATGTATTGTTTCGGTCTTCTCATTCCTCTTTCCATGCTGTGACATCATTTGACATTTTAGGCCCCTCTGAAAGCTTTGAGGTCCAAATTGTACAGTAAAATCTGTCCAAGGTGGAATTGATTGGGACAAAAGATTATGATGATTTAGAATGGTTCCATTTTATACAGGGTACTTTATAACACTTGTTATATTGATATTTCCATCCTGAAACTTTATATTACATGACTTTATTGTAATCATAAAGATATTTGCATATAACATATTTATGGAAGAAATCACCAATAAATTAATATTAAACACATTTCCGAGAACTGTAAGGAAAATCTTCAAAACTTGTGAACTAAAATAATATAATTTTTCCAACAGTTATCTAGAGTTTTTTGCTTTTTGGTTTCCCACTTACTAATTCCTTTCCTATAAGGTTTTTAGAAGTTGACAAACTAATATTTAGTTTTGTTTTTTCTGCCCACTGTTAAACTGGTCATAAAAATTCACCATCTCAGACTATAGTGGCTGCAGCTGGACTGCTCATCATCTCTTCAACACACAATCCATCACAGCCCAGTGTACTGTGTCTTACTGATACCCTCTCATGGTCTTGATCAATGTGGCCACTGGTCGAGAGGTTATGATTCTCATGAGATGTGTAAACAGATGTCATGCTCGAACAAATTCCCATGCTCAGAGATCCTGAGAGGGAGGGAAATCCCTTGCATGCAGCTCGAGACAAGCAAGGCCAGGTCGAATTTTACGCTGACAGCTGACGCCTTTCACTGAAGCTCACCCTATCTCTTTGTCTGCCACAGAAACGCCTATCACAAGGACAGAGAAATTAAAACAGACTTGCAGATGTATTTATTCCATTAAGAAATTCTTTGTCCCTCTGCCAATCACATTACATTCACAGTAATTGCGTTTTATAGTTTTTTCACTGCAGGACATTAAAAACCCTTCCATTTCCGCGTTGGACAGGTTCTGTTTTAATGCTGCTAAAATGTCATTTCACTTCACGGGACAAAATTTTTTTAAGGCTTGTAAAGGTTCAGATTTAGATTGTACTTAGTTGTTCATCAGATGCCACCTAAGAACATTCCCTTGTGTGCTGCCAGATTTTCTATTCACCTCACACTTGCTGAATCTACAATGTGTAACAAAATCATGGCATTCGCTTTCACATAACATTTCATTTGACAGAATGCCACATTCGTATTGAAACTCTCTCTTTACAGGCTCATTAAAAAACATCGGGCTGCTCAAATTTGCAGTGGATTCCAAGAAAATGAACACGAATTTAATTATGTACAGATATCGTTGCATGTATGCGCAATTTTTTTAACATCTTTGCAATTTATTGTTTCGTAACATTTATGAATGACATGGAATGGCAATGTAAAAACTTAAACACTAACCGACTAGACTTAATCTGTGAATATATGATGACCCCAAATTTTTTAACTGAGATATTTCAGAGAAAAAAAACTCGTCTTATATTCGGGAAAATACGTAAGTCTTTTCAATTCTGTCAACTCAAAAGTAAAGAAAGTGTAGTAGGAAACAAGATGATTTGTATTTGTAAAATTAGTAGTGTATAAGTCTTATGTGGTCACCAACGTATGTGCTACATACTTTTAAATACAGGTATATGCAAATTAATTTATACCCTTTTTAAGTTAATTTCAAGTGTTATTAAGTTTTAACACCACATTCCTTTCACTCTTATTTGCAGGTATCAATTTTTACCCTTGGCAACGAGATGCCGTCTGGAGACTCTTTAGAATTCACTTTGCTGACTACTTGATTCCATAGAGAAGTCACTGCTTTTTTCCATTCACCCACCTTGGAACACTACTGCACCCAACCCAGGCTACACATTGAAGGGTTAACATAGAAATATATCTCATAGGTTGTCTAAGACAGCAATTTCTTTCAAAAAGTTACCTACAACACATAGTCTACCATATTTTAATAAATTACATTTTCTTGAAGACAAAACATCAATATATGGAGGTCCAACTGCATTTTGTAACCACTGAACAGAAATTCTCATTAAAATACCTCTCTATTGAAGTTCCAAATAATATTATTTTTAATGTAAGCATTCAACCATACATTAAGAATTCCATGTTGTTACATTAGTTGTATCATTATACAGGGACAATAAGATTCTATATTTTTTTTGAACCACTGTATAATTCTTTAAAGCTACTTACTATGCAATTGAACATACCATTACAATAAAAAAATTAAGGAAACTCAGACAATAACAGTAATTCAAACATTACGGGGGAAATAAAAATTGTTGACCAACTAATCATAACCACAAAAAGAAAACTGAAGATCACATCAAAGACGAGGTACACTGTTCTCTATGTGTATGTTATTCAGTCAATTTTAAGCAATAATTCACATACACATCACTTTCCAATATGTTTACAATTGTGGGATATTAAAATCAATGCAGTTGTGTAAAAATGAAGTCCTATTTCTTCTAATGAAGTCTTTTTCTTTCATATATGAAGCTAGGAAGCGTAATAAGCACTTAAAACGTGCCAATTACTCCAAATTTCAACACATATAATTAAAATGCACAATTTCATCACATCTCACTCAACGGAAAGATTAATCCAAGTCCTGAATTTGTGCATCTATTTGTTGAAACAGTCGGCGAGATAGCTGAAAAAACAAACATTAGTAAGGCCATGAATTTCTGTTTTATGCAAACAAATAAATTTATCAAAATGAGCATATTCAATTGAATAGATATTTTACAATGAAAACTATGAAAAAAATAGCACCATATTTTTTGTTAATGAACTACATTCACTGTTGTCTAAACAAGGTATGTCTTCCACAATTAATTTAATTTAAAAGAACTGCCGTCTTTTTCTTTCACATACCCCATCATCATCATCATCTTCCTCATCATCATCGTCATCATCATCCTCGTCTTCGTCTTCTTCATCGTCATCCATATTCTCATCCGGGTCATCATCAGCTGCATCTGGTCCCATTTCATCTTCGTCATCATCGTCATCGTCATCGTCATCATCGTCGTCGTCATCATCTGAATCGTCATCATCATCATCTGTATCAACTTCATCATCATCGTCGTCGTCATCATCGTCATCCTCCTCATCATCATCTTCGTCATCATTTTCATCCTTTTCCTTATCTTTCTGCAAAGAGAAAAATTTCAATTAAATTAATGCAATACGTTTTGAACATAGTTCAAGATGATATAAATTGGGATTCATACATATGAAATTGAAATGCTATGAAGAAACAATTTTACCACACAATAGCAATAAAAATAAACAATTATTTTGGGCAAATATTAGAACACAAGAACAAGAAATTATCCCATTAGATTATTTAAATGACCTAGGAACAGGGCACTCACTGTTTCTCCTTTGGAGTTCCCAGAGTCATTCTTTTCTTTTTCCTTCTTTGGTTTTACAGCTTCTTTTTTTGCAGTCTGCAAAACATATTTAGAACACTACAGAAACATTTCTACAAGAGTGACAGGATAAGAAAGAAAACAAAAATAAAGGCAATACGGTACAAAGAAATAAGGAGAAATTCATTTTGAAAAGATTCTAAATTATCTCCACTGTGTGTCCAAATAGCTTCATAAAGAACTGCAGTATACAAAAACCTATTGACAATAATCGGAAAGGACAATCAAACTCTATGAAAAATTTCAAACAATGTAATCTCCAGTGGTGTTAAATGTAAAAAATATTTGTAAAGTTTTATGTTAAGAATGTAAAGGTAATAAAGTAAAATAAATCTCTAAGAATATCTAAAGGCTTAGAGACAATTGTGTAAATTAAAGAGATAAGAAAAAAATAGCCGAAGGTAAACTAATGTTTCAATTTTTTTCAGGATGGTAATTCATTGAAACTAGTGGCATTTGTACAAAAACATAAAATTTGATTATAAAAAGTATTCATACATGTTCACAAAAGCACTGAAGGTACTTTTACAGAAATAATAACTGTGAAAGACTTGCACTTGGTGCCCAACTACTAGTATCTAATAAAATCTTAACATCTTATGGTGCAATGTTTAACGAGTACAAACCTTTGGAGGCTTTTGTTGTCGACTCTCTCCAGGCAAACCTATCGGACCCCGGACTCTTCGAAATCTAACTATAAGGCTTCTTGATTCCAGCATTAAGTCATGATTGAGAGTGAAGGCCTCTATTGCATCATCAACCGATGTGTAACGAATAAATGCATATCTAAAACATAAATATTACATTTTTGTTAATAAATAATCAAATAACACAAATAATGAAAAATGAAATAAATAAGTAAATTTTAGTTAATCAATTATTCAATAAGCGAACATTTAAAAATAAATTATACCTTGTCCATTTCATTCTTTGGGCAAATCCAACATCAACTCTTGAAGCAGTAGGAAATTTCTCTTTCACAGTCGCAACATTAACATTTGTTGGCAAATTTCCAATATACAACCTATAATACACAACAAAAATACAATAACATGCTAATTTTTTCAAAGAATCTTTTTATACACAAGTCAAAAATATGAACTCTGACACTGTGATGTAAATGGAAAAGGTATCTGAATGCAATTGCACACAGGCTGACGTGGCCCACAGGGAAGGTGAAGGAAGGGACTACCTCCTATTCAGCTATCGGCTCAAGGAGGAGGTTGTGTCACGAGCACAATGCTCCAACCCCCTTTATCCCCATGAAAGATCCTGGTACTCATTTGGAAAGGAGGCCGAGTTGACCTCAGAGCCGCGCTGAATGGAAATCACTAGATAAAAATACTGACCTACGCCGGGATTCAAACCTGGGTCCTTCAGGTCAGGAAGTCAGTGCCCTACCACTAAGCCTCCGCGGCTCCCAACTATTATGAAATTATCATTAATTTTGATCATCTCTTTTCAACAAAATTGGCTTTCTAATTCCCTGCAATATGCCTTAACAAATTATAATTCAAAGTTGATCATGAACGAAATGTGTTTATAGTGCTTCTTATGAAGATATCATCATTGTAATGAGATAATTGCAAAACAAATTGGTTTGCAGATCCGGAAACTTTACTTAATAAGTGAATAAAATCAATGTATTTGACAAATAATAAACTAAGATCTAATGCAAACTACATTTTCCTTTGTTTACAGAACTTATCTACTATTCGTAAATCCATTCTGTAAAATGGAAAGGACTCGATTAATTGATATAAATAATTTTATATTTTCAGTACTATTACATATACATTAATTATCCTCTACCCACCTACTTAAATAACAATGCTAACAAAGTTTGGCGGTGAAAAAGAGCTTCAAATTGCGTATTTTCAGAAAAGCCCAAATGTCATTTTCATAAAAACTACTCCAAAGGTTTCAACAAAAATGCACATATCAGACTATGTTTTGTCCTTCTGCAATGGTAGTGATGTTTCAATTCCACTACTAGAAATCTCGAGAAAAATTGAGAAAACATGAAAAAATGTGTTTTAGGAGCCAAAAAATGGCAGATGAGAAGAGGATGGGGGCAAAACCGAAAACAGCACAAACTGTAGAGATACAGAAACTAACAAGTATGAGAAAGTCTGTTCCATCCTCAAGCACCACTAGTTTGAATACTGCTTCATGTTGCTCCATTAATGTTCAATAGAATTTAAATCTGGTGATTGGATTTGTAATGTGTAGTTGTTTTAGTACATTCTTCAAGATCAAAAGTTGTGTATTCACGTCATATATTTAGGGTCATTATCATGCTGAAAAATTTAATTAATTCCCACATTCATTTGAACAGCATTACCTGGCAAAAACATTGTAGATTAACTACTTTTTAACTCCATTTAAAATATATAATTGCTCCATAACCCTTGCAAAGAATGGAGCAAAATCATTTCATCCCTCTGGATGACTACCATGGGCTGTGACTGAGTCATTCTAATCCATTTCATGCGATGTAATGCCTAACTGTGGTTCCATGGAGAGAATGGAAAAGGAGAGAGGGATGTTAGTTTTAGCGAACAAAAATCTCCCATGTCAAACAGTACAAGTTGGACACAAAATACCCCCCATATACACTCATTTACACAATTTAAGTGTAATTATTTAAATTAATAAGATGTATGTAGAAATTTAAATTTTTTTAAAAAATAATTTTACACTCGGTAAGCTTTTTTTTCTTTTGAAACAATGAAAGTATAAAATTTTTGCAATAAACGTTTTATTAAAAAACATTAAAAATATAAATAATATTAATAAATGTTTTATTCCATAAAAATTAAATTATACAATAAAACATTTTTTGAAAAAATTTTGCTCTTTGACGGTCCAAAAAGAAAAAAGGATACCAGATCACCCTCATCAGTTAGGTATTATCATCATTATCATCATCATGAAAACCAGGAGACACTAAATTTTTTAAACATGAAAAAAGAGTGAATTATGCTAGATAATTCATTTTTGTGGGACTATTTAGTATTTTACATCTCTTTGACAAACCATGGCTGTTTTCACTTGATATAAATTACAATTCATCAACAACTAAATACCAGTAATTAATCAAACCATTACATCAAATAGCAGAGGACCACAAAAACAAAGATGCTGCCCAAGAAGAACTGTAATGATCACTTGTCACTGTCCTCAATGTCTGCGGGGCAAATAAAGGATAGCTTGAGAGTTGAATGAGAAAGAAAAGCTTTATGTGGAATTGAAAAAGACTCTAGTGTGTTCACTCAGTATTTTTCAACTCACATTCTCTAAAGATTGTTAGCTTAATTTTGGACAAAATTCCCTCCGCAAGCTGAAGATATGAATTGATCAAATTTATATCTAACATTTTTTATTAACACATTAATATCAAGAATTGTTTTAATGTAACATTTACATATTTTTAAATTTCAATAATTATTAAATGCATTACATATTTGAATTATTATTCAACAGACTAATAATCCAATAATAAATTCAATAATTCAATAGACTAAAAAAATGCATGGGCAGGGGGAGATTTAGCCTGCTTAGTAAATCTTATGTTTAATCTAAAAGAATAAAACAAATATAAATTTAATTAATATTAATTGAATTATAATAAAATAAAAATATCCATTTATTCGAACACTCATGCTAATGTATTATTTGCATTTTATAACAAATATAAAAAATTAATCTAATTCTCGAATACTTTTACATTACATAATGGAACTTAAGACTGATTAATTGACACATTTTTATTGCACAAAAATTAATCGATTTATTTTCAATAATTACACATCCCTATTATTGTATCAACAGTGACCCAATGACCAGTCAGATGTCCAGTGACTGGCCAGAAGCCTGACTGGCTTTGTGCTACAGGGATGTGAAATTTGTGACCTCAACCTTGCCTACCCTACATTACACACATCACTTGTTCACATTGCTTACAACCACCATTATATTGTTACATTGTTACATACTCTCGGCAAATTACTCAAAGTCTAACGGATATACTGAAATTATTTAAAACACATTTTAATGAAATTTCAAATGTTTTTTGATAGCTTTCCACACCAATTTCTGAAACATTCACAAAAAACTGAAAGAGTACACACTTATCTTCACTAGCGAAGTTTCATGGTCAGAATCCGCAACAGTCTCTCAACACCTTGCCCAGTTATTAGTAGCGTCCCACAAGGATCAGTTCTTGGACCAATCCTCTTCATCCTTTTATACCTGTGATTTGGGAGACAACATTAGGTCAGCACGGAACGACTGCGTTGATGATACGAAAATCTTCACTGACCAAATTAAAAATTTTGACTTTCCATAACACGATCTACTTTGGACAAATGAACGGTCTAGACTGTGCCTCTTAACCATGAAATTGCCTCTTAACCATGAAAAGTGCACTGCCCTCATGGAGGCTACTCTATTTCTTGGAAAAAATTTTCCTCCGTTTGCAAATACAGTTTTTCCCTCTGATAAGATTTGCAGCGTTTCTCACTTTTTTTATTACTTTCTAAAAAAATTAAAGCAAGTCTGATACTTATTTGTCAGCTCTACGTTTTTATGATAAAATACAAATAAAAAAGAATTCTTAACCAAAAAAAAAATCTAGTCACTATTTTTTGCTGGACTAATTTTGTAAGGAATAATATCCGTTTATGTAAGTCTAAAAATCCCCTGTTTTCTAACGATTCTTCCATAAATTCACTGATGTTTTCTAGAGCAATGAAATTCCCAGACTTTTTCCTGTTTTCCAGTTTTCCAGAAAGAGGCCACCCTGGCCTTTAACTGAGCACTAAGAACCCCAAATCCACTGTATCACTGGGAAAGTTATTTTAAGACAAAACTAGCCTGGGTGGTGTTGCCACAAAATCTGACATGAAAAGGACACATAGCTGCTGTGACTATATTAGACCCATTCTTCAATGTATCAGCATTATATGAGGACCCAATTTCAAGAAAGACGTGGAACCTATTGAAGTTTAAAGATAGGTCACATGGACATCTGAGTACTGTGAATAAAATGTGCTTCCCAAGATTACAACAAAAAAGAACTAGCAACAATATGGTCAAAACATTTATGGTCCTGAATGGCACATGCAACATCCAAAACTTGAATGAGATATTTTTTAGAGCCGCTAACAGGTAACTTCAAAGACATCATCTGGAGCTTTGAGGAGAATTCAAGGACCGGAGCTCAGAAACAGTTTTTCATCAACAGGGTTGTTAGCATTTGGAACTGTCTCCCAAATGTATGTGTTTCAGCCAAAATAGTTGGTTCCTTCAAGGGGAGGTTCGACTCCAGTTACTCATGAAGATGAAATCATTATTCACCAGGATAAAGTGTATTACCATTTGTGTTGAGTAGAATGTGTACGATTGATTCACTAAGAGATGGTTTTAATTGATACATGTATTTTGGATTGCGATGTCTACTTTAGCTGCCGCCATAAATAATTTATAAAAATTCTCTATAAATAAATAATACCAAATAAAAATTTTGCTCTAAGGGATAGGGAAGAGGATGGTGGTAATTTTTATGAAACCACATGCAGACAGTACTACTTCTCTTTTTTGGAAGGCTATTTGTACAAAATTTCATGAAGATTGAAACAGAGGAATAGAACTGTAGATAAATATGAAAAACAATCAAACATTCTTCTTTAGAGGAGAGAAAATAGAAAAAAGTGGCCTAAATAATGCCTCACAAAACGCTCTTCCTTTCAGTGAAAAACACTTGGAAATCAGTTTAGCTGCTCCAGAGTTAAACCAAGACAGACAGAAATCGTTAAAACATTTCAATTGTATTTAAATAATATATATAAAACTTATTTTAAATTACAGACACTTCAATTTTATTTACATCAATAAGCTAAAACGATAATGAATGTGAACTATGATTTGTTGATTTAGGATAATGAAACTATTTGCATATGTTAATTTTTATTATTAAATAATTAATCATTATAAATATATTGTATTTTTTTTAGAAATATTTTCAGTAATTTATATAGAATCATCAATCTCAAATTATGTACTTAGTGAAAACATCAGTTGAAACAAAAATTGTTTATGCAGTTCAGCTTAATAAAACTCTTCAACATTTTTAAACAAACTTACGTATATGGATCTATTGCTTCAGGTTTAAGATCTTCTTCTTCCTTTGAAAATTTTTTTTCAACTAAAAGTTTCCCATTTCCAAATTTTATTTTTGAAAGCTCTTTAATTGCTGCATCAGGATTAACATTTTCTGCCAACTGAACAAAACAATACCTACAATGCAAAAGAAACAAAATAAAAAAAAACATCAGTGGCAAATAAGGCATGAACAATATAAATATGAAAGAGTAATATACTTCCTATTAATTATTTAGTTCAAAGTAAGAACTATTCAGAATTCATTAAATGCTTTTCCAAAGTGTTGAAAATTGTACAGAATAGCAATCTTTTGCACATACCTGGGACTACTTGGAACTTGGAAATGAACATTTTCAATTCCCGAATGGAAGTTTTTCACCATATCCTTAGTTAATTCAGGATCAGGAAACCTAATTATCAGACTTTCATTTTTCATTCCCTTCATATGAGCTGTTTCTACAGCCAATGCTTTTGCAGCATCCTCCTTATTCCATGGTCTAGAGGAATAATTTTGTGACATGGGACGCCTCTTTACTTTTGTTTTTGTGTAAGACCCTTCCTGTGAAAGAAATGCATGGACAAAATCTGAATAAAAAAACAATTAAAATGAAACCATTTATACATTTTACACTTATAAGTTTTTCACATGTATACATTGTTTTCTGTAAGTCCCGAATAAATTCCCATGCTAAATTATTTCATATATATGTTTTAGGTTTATGTTTCTCACGCTTCTATGTTCATTGATTGATTGATTGATTGTTTGTTTAGTGATTCCAGGCACATCAACTACCAGGGTCATTAGTCCAAGTGTAATGCATGTTTTTGTTTAGGAGGTGAGAGGTGATCTTTCCCCTGACGCATGGTGAGATCTGGCACCAATCTACTGTCGAACTCAGGGTTTTCCCCAACCAGGAATCCGCCACCAGCCAGGACAAGCTCTTAGCTCCTGACAGGTCTCCTGGTATGTGTGGTAGTGCAGAGCATGTTGGTGTAAGTGTGTATGTGAGGGGCAAGGATAGGACAAGGAAGAGAAAGGTGAGATCACGCGCGGTCTGAGGCCCGTTTGTTAGGGTACTGTTCTGGCATTTTCCTGGTGTTGAAAGGAGGGACTGCAGCGACATCAGTTGATGCCCTGAGCCATCACTCCCAGTTTATATTTTTATAATAAAAGACCCTTTAAGACAGTATAATGTCCAAACGATAACGACATAGGTGACCAATAAGGGACAACTTTTACATTATCGTAGAGGAGCCCACGGAATTTTTGTGTTGAATGCAGTATTCATTTTGTTTAATTTTGTCCCTACACAGGGTGCTGGTTTCATCTTTACATTTTTGAACTTTGGACCAAACTACAAGATGAAAAAATAGGCATGATAGTGTCGTCCGATAGCGGCTTTGCATAATTTTGATCAATAACACCACTGCACAAGTTTTGGAGCATTTAAAGGAAATATTGAAACTTGAGGAAATCAAAGATTTATAATGACATTTAGGCGACTCACGAGCGTTGCGTTGACACACGTCACCAGACGCTGATGACATAAACTGCTTCGATGCCTGTGCACAGGAGTCACTTTACGCTCCTTGTAGATTACCCCTGTATCTTATGCGATGCGACACATGAGCGCTCTCAGCGATGTGCATTGTTGCCAATGCACGTTGCCTGGCGTGAACTACATTGTAGCTTGTGCGTCTTTCTTGAGCTGTGGGCACACGCACGTTGTGAAGACCGCTAGTGTGCCATTTCGCAAAAGATATAGAGTTAATCTATGATGTACATCGACGTAGCTGGCGTCAGCAGCGTTAGGTGACACACGTAAACACAATGATCGTGTGACACAGGCCTAAAGACCTGGCTGTATAAAGTGCAGTATGAGGGCTATTTTTTCCGCCGGGCACACCTATGGCTAGCCCGCCTGTCTACTAAGAAGCTTCCAGTCTGATTCAAGTTCTTGTCCGGTTTCCCTGATCCTTGAGCAAATGCTAATGGCCTATTGTTTTGCTTCCGACTGGCCATAAATGTAGCTTCACTATGCTCATGTTTTGCTGAGCTCACATGCTTGTAAGAGGTAGAAGAGAAGGGATGTGTTACTTTTACGTTAGCAATACAAAAAATCTGCAGTTTGTTTACCAATGCAAGTAAGTTTTCTGAAACTTGGAAGCAAAAATTCTAACTTCTCTTTTTTTGAAACTTTTATTCATCGTTCAACTATTTATAGTTAAAATGTTGGGAAGAGATTCTGGAGCTCAAGAAAACGTTTGCATATGGCACTTCTCCCCCATATGCCACGTACAGTTCTTACTGTTCTTTGACTAAAGAAATCAAATCAATCAAAAGAATCATTGGAAGCAGTTCCTGCAAGCAAGCCCAAGAGTGGAACATACCAATGTAAAAATGTTGAATGTGAAATGTTTTTGCTTTGCTCATATTATTTGATTTCAGTTGCACGTTTTTCTCACTACATTTTTTCCCTTCAGTCCCCTGAAAAATGTACAAGTGAAGTTTTATTATATTGTAAAATACATAGGCATGAATGGTCTTTTAAATTGCTTAGTCTGATTAGTGACAACTCTCAAAACTTATCAATACGACTTGGTTTGGTTGTCAGGGTGACTGTACATGGCAAATTGCCCTCAAGATATTTCCTGTAAAGATAGAAAATTAGCACCACTGCTAGATGCAGAGCAGCCTCAGGTTCAACCTTTAGTTTTATTTTTGATTGCACTGTGCGCCTAACATATCAGTATCAAGGCAAACATTATTTGTAATCCCAAAATTTCTTTATAACTTTTGTGATTAATCCCAAAATTAAAGATTGTAAACCTCATATCATTTGAATTTTTGGTTTCTTTACTTTTATTCTTTATGCATTAACACACCTTGTTTTTGCAACTTTAAAACACTTGTATAATTACTTGTTCTGCACAACATAAATTTCGTTGGAATTCAAATAAATTTTTACAATTTTCAAGGTAATTTAACCCATTTCTTCCCAAGTGTTAACAAACTTTAATTATTTAATAAATTTCAATTAAATATGCAAATGTCCCCAAAGATGCAAAATATATTTCCTAAATATAATTTGGTAATTAGGTAAAGCTACATGGAAGATTGCAAATATGAAAGAAAGTGTACACACAACTTTTTAAAGAAAAATTAGTATTTTCTTGACTAATAACAACTAATTTTAATGGTATACAAAAAGAATACAGACTGACTGAAGGTATAAAAAGCAAATGCAATATAAATGTATTTGACAATTAGTTACATTCAGAAATTATCCAGCTCTTACTACCTTTACGATGTCTACACACCATCACTGTTTGCAGTAGTGACCTAAATTGCAAATTGAGCTTCTATAATATTCTTCTTTCATTAGTAGCACCTCTCTTCTTCTTCTTCCCTCTCTTTTCCAAAGAGAGAGGTAATGTTCCCCAGAAGAGCGCAACTTTAACTACCAACACGATTTCCAAATTTGAACTTACAAGTTTCTATCTCATCAAGTGAGATATGCATGACCCATCCATCCTATACCAAAGTTTAGGAAGGAAAAGTAAACTAATAGTGCTACAGAAAGACACACATTCTCGCAATAATTGATTTTCTAATCACTTTAGTCTAAGCTGGCTCATTGGCACACCAAAACAAAATTGTTTCACTTCTCAATTTATCAGTCCCCTTACAGTACAATTGAAATGTATTTAAGAATATTTATGAATTACAGAAATGTAAATCATAGTATAAAAGTTTCCATTGAAACACTTGGAACCATTCTTGAGAAAATGTGGTTTGAGCATTCCTCAAAATTCGGAATTTAAATCATTTTCACAGAAAAGTTTTGAGTTTTCGTAAGAAATAATTTGAAGCACTTCTGTTCACAAATGCTATAATATAATGAAAATGCCATTTTTGTTTTATAAATATTAACAAAGTGAAAGATAGTTTGAAAAAAGTTACCTTTGTGTATTTTTTGAACAACACACCATTTTCATGTATTGTTTTATGTCATGTAATGCAGAGTATTTAGAACAATCCATAACGTCTTTACGACAACTATAAACAACAGTCGAAATAGCAACTTGACTGATTCCACTGATTCACAAATTGACTGATTAGTGATTATAACTTTCAACAGCATTGTCAACAGTGGTGATTTTCCGCCAAATTGGCGCTTATGGAATAATCATGGAGCGAAAGTTCTTGCTGACACTAGGCACATTTTTGTTAATATTGCATTTTTTTTAATTTTTAAAATTATATGATTTGTGCATTGTTCCATTTGTAAATGACAACACAATTTCATGTAAATCGTATACACCTCCACAAAAAATCTGGCACTTTTATAATATGTCCTCATAACAAAGATTTTCAACACACAACTTCAAATTAAAGGAAACTAGATAATTCTAGCACATTTCTTAGAGAGAATACAGTACATGATGATCATGCACTGCGATTTTAATAATAAGTACGCTCTGTTCACTGTGTTTTTCCTAAGCACACAACTATAAGAAGATGTAGATACTGTGTATATAATTCAAATAGCTTCTATACTGTTTCAGATTCGACATTCTAACTAAGCTAAGTAGAAAGAGCTGAATTTCCTAAGTGCAGTGATATGTATATCTCAATATGCAGCTTTTTGGCAGATACTGTGGTTTACTGAATGAGGGCAGTACAGAGGAAGTTATGTAATTCTGTGAAAAATCAATTTCAAGATTTCAATGGAAATACATGTTTTGGGATCTCCTGGTGTTTTTTTTATCAAAATGTATGTCCGTCTGTCTGTCCGTGAACAACACTAGTGCCTAGACTACAAGTCGGAATTTTTTCCAAACTGAAAACTACCCAGTCCATTCGGCTTCACTCGTAGCTCTGCAATTTTTAAAGACATTCTTCCGTTTTTGGCATTCTTTACATGAAGCTCCTAAGGGATTTTCAAATTTTGTTTTATATATGAAAAATTTTGTATGAAAATGAATTTTGAAAGAATTGAGTGAAATACACTTACAAAAATGGCACAGGCCTGATTTTCACTATTTACTCTGAATTTTTGAAAATAGTAACTTAGTAGTTTTCATGCAATACAGCATGGAATATTTGCAATATTAAAAAATATCAAAAACAGCTTCAAATTTGGTCTTTAAACTTGCAATAGGGTAAGTGGTAAACATAATGTAACACATGACATAAACAGCATTTTGTTCTATTCTTGTTTTTTTGAAAGTTAAGCAATTGTATTTTTTTTGACATCTCTCTCATGTCGTTAATATTTCCATTAACAGCAATTTGTATGCATTCTTGAATTTGTTAAAACAAGTGCTTCAAATGAGGTCATATAAAGTTTCGCAAAACTCTAAAAAGTTTTCTACGAAAAGGGTGCTCAAACGCCTCCACATTTACAAATAGGCTCAAATGCCATTTCTCAAAAACAGCTCCAAATTTTTCAACGAATATTACCGCATGGGACAAGGTTTTACTCTTCTATAATATTCTTAAAGTTGTGTTCCATTCCATCAATAAGGGATCGAAAAATTGGAAAAAAAAGTAGTTTGGGCAGACAGAGATGGCTGCTGCAGAAAAAGTGCACCTGAAAGTAGCCCAGACGAAGGAAATTACAAAACTATTAAGAAAAAGTTTGTGGCATTCTATAGCACCATTAGCATTGAAAATTGCCTTTATTTCATGAAAGATTCCTTAAGAACAATTTATCTTAAGGGAAAAAAAATGTATGTCCTCAATTAAAGCTCTGATTTTAAAGAACACATTTCACAAGGAAAACTTCTCTATCATTAATATTGTAGTTCATAGTTGTAGGGAGACTGCAAAAATTTTGTCTTCTGCATTTTTTGAAAATTTAAATATTTTCGAAAAACTAAGACCTGTGGCATTTTTTAAGTGTCCTGTATTTTATCCGAAGAGAAAATTTAATCAATGAAGTTGGAGCCATTTTTGTAAAAAATTTGAAAAAGTCCTTGAGGCAGTTTCCAACATTTGCAGTGCCCCATGTTGAGTCAGATCAATCTGTTGAAATCTGTTAATTTCTGTTCAAATCGTAATATTGCTAGCGTTTTGGTTTTTTCCCTCCCTCTTCCCAACTACCAACTTTGGTCACCAAAGGATCTACCATGGCCTCTCACAGTACCTACTGCCCCTCTGCTGACATTCCTAGTGAAGGGCACCTTCACACACCCCAGAGCATTGCAGAGATCAATATTGGTCCTGTGCCTTTACAAATTTGCCTGTGGCCCCATCTTGTTGCATGTACCATTGTTCTAAGTGTACGGATCCAGTACCTCATTTACACACACACATACACACATCTCACTTACAGTTGCCAGACAGGCCAAGAGATGGAAGAATTAGTGTAATGATGTCATTCATAACAGAACAGGTCACTCACATTACTAGAAAATCTTACCTCAAGCACAGTGCCAAGAGAATTCGCAGTACGGTTATTTGCATCACTTGTAAAATTTGTATTAGCACTATTTCCACTTTGATTATTAACATCTCTCCTCTCATTGCAATGGCAACCCATATTGCCGATAACTTGGGCACAATTCACACAGTTATTTCCCCCTTGTGTAGAGCCCATTTCACTGTTGTCATTTTCTGAATGTTGATGGTGATGTTCATGAGGAAACTGTTGTTGATGCCATTGCTAAAAAAGTAAATAGATAAATTAACTTTATAATAACAAAGTACACAAATAATATTAAAACAATTCTTCAAATGGCACTTGGCATTTCATTCAGGTTTTCCACAATACTGAAATAAAATGAATATCGAAATGTGTTTACACTTAGAAGTTCATTCTTCACTCTGCATTTAAAGAAATGCTGAAGCTCATGAGCATTTGCAGTAAAATGACACACACTTTGCTATGAGTAAAAGAGTAATTATATCCTTTATATGATTTTTTTTTTCTTAAATACATTGAAGTGATATACAGACAAGCATTGAGATCTCTTGGGATTTGGATAGACATCTTACATTCAAAATCTGGATGCCATTAACAACTTTCAACTAACAATTTCTTGCAGTACGCTACACATTTTTGTACAAAAACAAGTATGCCATGAGACACATAGCCAATTCATTACGGAATTGAAGCCCAGAGAAATATTCTTAAATTTTCCAGTATAAGTAATGATTTTGTATTACAGCAGACCACAAAATCTCAAAAAGCAATTTAACACTTTCCCACAGAGCAGCAAACTCCTATACATTTAAGGTTTATTTATGTTAGGGAATGAAGTAGTTACTTTCAAACAATTTTGAACATTTGCAATATGTCTGTCAAAGGACTCAAAGTTCAATGGATACAGAAGATAATTTTCCTGTAGTATTGATACATATCTCCAGTTATAGTAACTATCTCAGTCTTATTGTCCGTCATATTTTTCAATTATTGTGTCCTCAGACCAGAACAAGTTGAATGAAAATAATCTTGAGACAACAGAATAAATAAAAGATACTAACATTCTTTTTTACTTGTGCTGCATTTTTTCATTATTGTATGTTCTAAATAAAATTAAATATGTACATTGTTCAAATTATAGTAAATAGAACACTATCTGAAAAGACTCTGACAAAAATAATATTTTGAGATATTCACATCCTGGTGGTAAAGAACTATAGCAACATCTTTTCATTTCAGAATTTTTGCTTTACAGCAATGAATATTTTTGACAATGTCAAGATATATTATTAAAATATTCACAAAATTCTTTATATATAATTGCCACCTCCCCGTCACCTTGTTGGATGCAATTACGCTCTGAGAATATATTCTGCAGTCGTAAAGTAATCCAAATTGTGACCATGTTACTGAGTAACAATGCATTTAAAAATTAAATTTGTTAAAAGAATTGGTTGCCCCGCCCGGGATGCGAACCCAGGCCGTCTGGTTTATGCTTAGGTGCTCTAACCATTAAGCTACCGAGACAACCTATCCTTTGAAGAGTTTTCATGAGCGCGATTATCGCTCCTTGTACATATATGTAATATAATAATACATACATAAATTATATGTGCATACAAGAAATGATAATCATGTTCATGAAAACTGTTCAAAGGATTGGTTGTCTTGGTAGCTTTGTGGTTAGAGCAGCTGGGCGTAAACCAGAAGGCCCAGGCTCGAGTCCCAGGTGAGGCAAACAATTCTTTGAACAAATTTAATTATTAATATTCTTTATGTTATTCAACAAATAACTTAGTACAAAAATAAATGTTTATCTACAATTGGTATTAATGCAATTATTGTCACTGCATATAAGAACCTGACATGTTGTCACTGAAATCAGTTTCTGATTGAGAATCATGTTCTAATGTTTTCATTTTCTGGTGTTTCTGAGAGTAACGATCTTTTGGTTGTATAGAAGCATTCTATATAGTTTGAAATTTAACCATGAAATATCAGTTTTGATTTAATCCTCATATACTTCCAATCTGGTTAATTCTAAAGAAAAACTCTATTCACAATTTGCTTCTAAAGAAAAACTCTATTCACATTTTGCTTCCAAATTGATGGATACTAACTCGCTGAACTATCAACAAATTCTGATAGCTCTGATTGATTAGGTTCAGATTTGCTACATTAATTTATCTTCAACTGATATATAATACTTAAATAGTAGAAATTCCATGAAAAGTTGGGGGAAAAACACCTTATTGTCGCAAACAAAGGTTGTTTCCGTATGGTCAAGATAGACATTAATCGAAATGCAGTGATCTGGAATAACGTTATAACTGGAATATCAAAACTATAACAAACTGAACTATACACATATTACAATAAGTACTTTTCATACTGATATTATTATTACTCGTTTCCTGCCACTGTATTTCTTTCCATATCTTAGTAGTTCAAGAATGAATATAGTCGCACATTATTATCTTGCATGATAATATCTAAGATTCAGAAACAAAACATCAAGACAGAGACATCATTCTCAATTTTATATAAACTTTGGACATGACACAGACGTAAACATATAGCATCATGTCAATGTAAAACGTACCATTTTATAAAAATGTCACTTACCAGGTTTGTACATGCAGGAACAGAATTCTAGCATTGAAAACATAACATCCACTAGCATCTAAACATCCACTAACTTACCACACGTAATGAAACAAACCTGTTTAAATTGTTGTGAATTGTCATAGGGGAACCTAGTTGGACCCCCTCGTCCCCGATTTCCACGAAAGAATCCCCGAGGTCCATGGTTATTTGGCATCCGAGGTCCCCTCCAAGGGCCACCTCTTCCACCTCTAAATCCTCCTCCTCCACCTCCTCCTCCTCCTCCGCCCCCACCGCCGGCGCCAGAACCACCCCGCATATTTCCTTGACCTCTTGGTTGCCAACCCCCATAATGTTGCATAGGTCCACCATACACGTGCTTGGGTAGTCCTTCGCCTTCACCGTTTTCTTCCAGCTTCAAACAAATAATATAAATATACTATAAAAATAATATACTGTAGAATGATTTAGCAACAACACCAAAACTTAGGATCTAAACCTGCGTGTTTTATTTCCAAATAAGTTTAACGTAACAAGAAAAGAAAGCATGTAACCTCTTAACAAGCTCTATATCAATTTTGAATACCTTTCGCTTCATAACAACAAAACAAATGTAGATTTATATAAACAACTCCCAGCTAACTATTACACATGAGTTTCATATCGCTGTTGACGTAGATGATATTGATTCCTTTACAATAAAACATTTCCATTGAATTCGAGACAACACACTAAAACTGTAACAACCACCTAAACACTCACAATAACACATGATAGTACAATGGGAGCTGAATGGGACCAGATGGGAGTAGAGTGCAGCACTGCCGCAGCATTAACGCAGCGCACATCGTACGTGTTTTTTCTCACTTAAGTAGTATTCCCGGCTTTTCAAAACGAGATAAATGTCCATGGTCTACGTTTACAGACGGTCACAATATTTGGGCAAAGCCCTCTTTCTTCTTCTTCTTAACCTAATTTCAAATGCATATTTTCTTTCAATGCACACAGTTTTGAGACATAAAGCATTTACATCTTCATTTAAAATAATGGTGTCAACTGGAGCAACATGCCAAGGGCTGAACGCAAAGAGAAATAGAGAAAACGTTAAATAAGTAAGAAATTTGTAAGAAAGAAGACCGGATTGAATCCATACCACAGAAAGGGTGTCCAGTCAAGGTCAGTAAAGGGAAGAACGCGACGGGTAAAGAAAAATCCCATTCCATTGCTTGGGAACCATCTGCCGAACGGCATATAAGGCAGGATAAGGTCTGTCGATTCGGAAATTGTGCCCAGAGTGCTAAGAAATGTTGGATATAATGGGCGAGTTGTTTGGAAAAACCGATTCATCAGAGAGGCAAATAGAAAGAAAAGGTAGAAATTCAACGAGCGGTACACAGACAATTCTGAGAATGGCGGAAAAGTGTCGAATTTGAGGACGACAGTAAATTTGAAGTGTACGAGACAGGTGAGACTTCTGACGAGACTGATGACTTCAGGCTACGTAGCCGTTAGTGGAGTGGGAGAAATTGCTTTTATCATGAACCAAATGCAGTATCCGAATATTCTCAAGAACAATTTGCTTAGAAACGCAGAGAAACTGGGGATTAGAAATTGTTTTAAATTTCAAGACAACGACGTTATATATAAGGCCCACGTTGTGAGAGAATAGCTTCTATAAAATTGTCCCAAGGTACTCGATATGCCACTCCAATCTTCTGACAAATCTTATTGAGAATTTTTTCCACGAATAAGAAATGAGGATTCCCCAAAACAATATTCTATAAACAAAGTCATTAGAAGAAAGATTACGAGAAGAATGGTGGGAAAATGGGAGCAATTATACCCCAAAATTAGTAACTTCAAGTCAAGAAGACTGAAAGAAGTGCTAAAACAAAAGGGACCAATTACAAAATACCAAGTTGTACTTTAATGTTGATACATAACAATTTAAGCCGTTTTATACTGGGTTATAGTCAAATGTAGTGGAGGGTGCTTACTAAACTTACAACCTACACATAATTCTATACGTACTTATATTTTCTACATAATTTTACATATTTGCATTGGTTACCAGAAAAAACAATAACAACAACAACAACAATAATAATAATAATAATAATAATAATAATAATAATAATAATAATAATAATAACAACAACAACAACCTCTCTATATCGGGCTCGTGGCTGACTTTCCACTTCGCGTTCGCGGGTTCAATTCGCGGACGAGCAAAGACAATGGTGTGCGTTTTCCTTGCAATGTCCTCGACCGCAAGGCAGGGACGTCGCCGATAGGCCTGAACCCGTTCACGGCCTGTCGCGCCAAGTACGTACGTACATACATACAACCTTTCCATATTATCCGCAGAGTAATGGTCAAGCAGAAAGCAGTGTGAAATAAAAGCGCGGTAAAAAAATAATAGCAAAAAATTTCTCAACGAATCGAAAGATGTTAATTTAAGGTTACTGACATATAGATCGACACCACTTGAGAAGGGTTACAGTCCAGCTGAACTGTTGTTTTCTACAAACGTTGGAACTTCAATTCCTATGATCTCCACTAAATTAGAGTCATTTCAAAGAAATCAAAAAGTACAATTTAAAAAGAAAGATACTACAGAAAAACCAAAAGAACACTACATCCGCAGATACCGCACCAGAAACCTGCTTCAGATTAGAGACAGAATTTAGGTCGTAAATATATGTACATACGGAACCGTGGCAGAGCTCAGTGTCAATCCAAATTTTTATATTGTTAACGTGGGTGAAAGATTGTTTAGAAGAACTCGCTGGTACTTCATACATACGCAAAGCAAACAGTCAAGAGAGAAACCATCCACCAGTTGGAGCTGGGCCCGGAATGGTTTATGAAGGATACAAGGGAAAATGTAGCGAAAATGACGATGTAGAATTAGCCTTAGCGGTAGCGAAAACGATATTAAGTAAATGTTAACAAAGAGTCAAATTTACATGAAATTGTAGAAAGGAGGTCAATCAGAGATAGACGTCCACTTCACTGGATGACAGATAATATGTGACGATTGGCTTAAGTAATTTCACTGTTATGGATTCTGTAATATTTGTGTAAAGGAAAATTATGTGAAAGTAAAAACGAAAGGAAGTTCTGAGAGTGGCTGCATGCTTAGCTACATGCCCTCGAGCTCACAGACCAATCAGCGACGGAGAGACCGCGGGAAGGATACTGAGGGCAGACAGCGCAGGCGTTGCCAGTACGAGCTGTACGTGCTTGGCCGGCGTAGTGTGGACAGTATCTTCTTATTCCTGGTCCCGATCCCCACTACACATTGATAGGACTTCCATTTTAAACGTGTCTTTTGTAGTGGCGGTTAAGCCATAGGGAGGCCCGCAACCACTTTCGCCCTCGGAGACGCTGCGACACGGCGCGGCCCGGGAGCGACGGAACGGAGGCAGCGGCTGGGGCAGCTTGCGCCCCCTCCCGTCTTCCCCCCGCCAACCCCTAGCGATGGCAGCGGCAGTAGCCGGGCAGGCCCCGGCTCACCTGGAGACTGGCGATCGTTTTGGAAAGAGTGGATTGTGCTGTATATGAACTGCATTTTGACCCTGTTGTAGTCACGATTTTCTCTTACGTACGACTTTGGTATAAACCGTGTTTCGTTTTGGTACGTCTTCTGGCTCTCTGCGATCTGGCTTGTAACGTTGCCATTTTGAACACTGAATGTAATAAATATATTTGTGGCGGCGATGGTGTAACAGCGTATTGGCAGCGACTGTTATATCAAAGTTCGCGGGTTCAAGCCCGAAGCCGTGGATATTTAAGAGCGAAAGAATCCTTCGTACGCCTTCCTTCGGAGGGGAAAGTAAAGCCGGCTATCCCGTTAGTAGATTTACTGCACGTAAAATATCCTAAAACCTAAATGAAGCATCTGAGCTAAATTCAAATCGCCTGTTTTGTCCCCGAGTGATACCACCTTTCTCCGCTAGTGGGTGAAAGAAGCGTAGCAAAATTTGCGTGGTCAGACGGAAGACCCCATGGCCCGAGAATCGCCACGTAAAATAAGACATCAACTCAATTCAATTCTATATATTTGACTTTGAGTGACTGAGTTTATCAGCCTTTTCAGGTTACATCAAAATGGCGACGAGGAAAACGGTACTGGATGCCCAGTTCCAGTTCTTGCACAATGTAAGGCTATTGGCACAGCAATTGCATCATCAGCAGGTCATAGCGACGCAGCAACTGCAACAGACACAAGCAGCAATCACGCAGCAATTACAGCTTATGCAGGCGGCCCTGGCCCAGCAGCAGGAGGCGGCAGAGCACCGGAATCAGGCAACGGCAAAGACATTGCAGTCGGCATGCGCCCGCCTCCCCACTTCCCGGCTTTTCGCCCGGAGGAAGAACATAGAAAGACTCGAACAGCAAATGTTGTGACATGGGGTAACGGAGGTCAACGCAAGGAGGTCTTTCATCTCGAGTAGCGTCAGAACCCCACAGTGAACTTGCTAAACAAATTATGCTCTGATAAGGAGATGGCCGACGTTAAGCGGGCCGAAGTAAAGGATGGGCTGAACAATCATTTTGTGCAAACGCCTCACGTAGTAGCTACCAGATACACGTTCTTTCAGTTAAAAAGAAAGAAGGTCAGACACAAGCAGAATGCATTACGGACTTGGTTGGAAGCGCGAAGGGTAGTCAGTTCAGATGCGAGAAGAATGACTGTGACATATCTTACGTCGATTCTTTGATCAGGGACGCGGTAATTCTGCACACAACGGTCGATGAAAGTCGCAAGGGGGCGATAAGGGACGCTGACCCGTCGCTGGATCTGATGCACAAGAAAGCGGCGCATCACGTGCTGCCCGCGGAGACATCGCGGCGTCCGACGAGCCCGTCAGCAGTATAGCTCTGAAGAAGGCCACAGCAAGATGGCCGATTCGTCAGTACAATTGACCGAGACGCGGCTCATCCCGGATAGCCAAGATGCTCTGACGAGCCCAGCACCGGTGGCGCAGGCGCGGAGTTCGGTCGAGCGGCAGCAACAGGCTGAGCGAAAGGGCGCGGCATTTGCAGTAGCAGTAGGGAACCTAGCGATAACAGCATTCGTTCGCACGCAGGAAGAACGGGCCGTGGCAAGGAGAGCAATGCCAAGAGCAGGGCCGCGGCAGGGGAAGAGAGAAGCGGACAGAGTTGGAAGTCGTGCACGAATTGCGGCACGCGACGCGCCCTGCAGGTTTCGCAGAGCAGAGTGCTTTGCGTAAGGGCGGTCTCATTAAACAAGCGTGTAGGAGCGCCAGAAAGGGCTCGGTCGGGGCGCAGAAGAGAAGAAGGTTGCAGACGCAATGCGGTGAAGGACAGGCAGGGGCACAACAGAATATTGGACATAAGATTAGCGGGTGTGCCGGTCCAAGTCCTGGTGGTCTCGGGGACGGCCGCTGCCTTAATAATCTTGGACACTTATCAGGGTAGGTGCGCCCAAGTGCAAGAAAGTGAACAGGCGTCTTAGTGCGTATGGAAAAACACCAATTAGCACGATGGGCAAGACCGAAGTGGCGGGCAAGTTAAAAACAGAAGAAGGCAAAGTTGGAAATAGTAGTAGTCGACCGCTATGAGCATCTTAGGCTTGTATTCGTTCAACAAGTGTTCGAGAACGGCCTAGGAGAATTTCAACATTACAAGCTTAGATTTGAAGTAGGGATCCAAACTACGGATTTACATGTATATGCCAGCGCCGTGGGCCCTCAATAATAAGGTCGAAGAGGAGTTGAGGAGATGGGAGGCTGAATGTGTTATTTCTCGGGTCTCCACCAGCCAGTGGGCCACACTGCCGGTGTTGGTTAAGAAACACAACGGGGATGTGTATCTGTGTAGAGATAGCACTCAATTGAGGAAATTCCTAAAACTAGCATGGGCACAAGAAAGAAAGAAAGAAAGAATAAATCAATAATT